GTTCAAAAACTCGATACATGGGTTCCTCACGAACAATGAAAGGAAAACGCATTTAACGCAACGCATTAACAGCTGCCATTTGCGAATGAAAATTGATCCCTAAAGAAAGAACTAAAGAAACGTAATGAAAATGATCCATTTTTAAAACGACTGATAACTGGCGATGAAAAATGGGTTGTTTACAACAATATCAAGCAGAAAAGATCGTGGAGCAGGCCAGCTGAACCAACTCAAACAACATCAAAAGCTGATATTCATCAAAAGAAGGTTTTGTTATCAGTTTGGTGGGATTACAAAGGAATTGTCTACTTTGAACTCTTACCACCAAACCGAACAATCAATTCTGATGTCTACATTGAACAACTAACGAAATTAAACAATGCAGTTGAAGAAAAGCGGCCCGAATTGACAAATTGAAAAGGTGTTGTATTCCATCATGACAATGCAAGGCCACACACATCTTTGCTCACTCGGCAAAAATTATTGGAGCTTGGTTGGGATGTTTTGCCACATCCACCATATAGTCCTGACCTTGCACCATCTGATTACTTTTTGTTCGATCTTTACAAAAACTCCTTGAATGGTAAAAATTTCAATAATGATGATGATGTCAAATCATACCTGATTCAGTTTTTTGCTAATAAAAACCAGAAGTTTTATGAACGTGGGATTATGATGCTGCCTGAAAGATGGCAAAAGGTCATTGATCAAAATGGGCAATAGATTACAGAATAAAGTTATTTAGTTCCATGAAAAAATTGTCTTTGATTTTCTAAAAAAAATCCGCAATTACTTAGTTGCCAACCCAATAATATCTATACATTATAATTTAATAAGGCTAAATTTATTTTTTAGTTTCTGATACATGTATATACAAGTCAACTGCACTTTTGTATGTGACATGAAAAAGGATAAAAAGGGTAGTTGAATTTCTCTGGAAACAAACTTTTAATTTAAATATATTCTGACCTAGAGTTGCATGAATTCCTCTCTTATAAACAAATCACTTCTTTTATGTTATATTAAAAGACCTTAAAGTGTTTCTATATGCTGTTTAAAATACACTTTGTTACAAAAAAATATACTCAAAGAAACTGATCCACAACTACAAAAAGCGGCATGCAAATGTGGTTTGGCAATCTATGTAAATGATTAAGTTTGCAGCACCGATCAGTACTGTGGAGCAATACTTTTAATTTAAATATATTCTGACCTAGACTTGCATGAATTCCTCTCTTATAAACAAATCACTTCTTTCACATGTTATATTAAAAGACCTTAAAGTGTTTCTATATGCTGTTTAAAATACACTTTGTTGCAAAAAAATATATGCACCCAAACAAACTGATCCACAACTACAAAATGCGGCATGTGTGTGTGTGTGATTATGGCAAAGCCTCGAGGGCTATCTGCCTAAGAGGAGGGATGCCTTCGTGGAGGACTTTCTAAGGGAAACTGGCTCGCATACACATTACACATGGGGAAAACCACGAAAACGCCCATGCAGCCAGCCCGTTCGCGGGATTCGAACCTCGGACCGAACTACCAGTGTTCAGCGACTTTACCGCTCGGCCGCTGGTGGGCCGAAACGCGGCATGCAAATGTGGTTTGGCAAGCTGTGTAAATGATTAAACTTGCAGCACCAATCAGCACTGTGGAGCAATACAGCGAGTGTGTCTGAAGTACACAGCTGATAAAATGTAAAAGGGCAGTTACAGAGAATAATGAGCATTTAACAACGCCCTGATATCTAGGTTACATGACATTGTAACAAAAGATGCCTTCAAAATGTACTCGATAATGCTACAAAAAGGTGTCAGACTTTGAGAGGGGTTTGTATCATAGGACCAAAAGAGGCTGGTTTGTCAAACAGGCAGATCAGCTGGCATCTTCGTCGAAGCGATATACTCTTTGTCCATTGTTGGAACCAGTGGCTCAACAAAGGCATTGGCTTGTGGTATTCCAAGGCCACCAGTGAGTGAGATAATTGTGCAATTAGAATCAGTTGCCACATTTCCACCAACAGTTACACTACCATTGATTAAATGTCATTTCCAACTTTCAGACATCCTGTGATAAGATTCCCAGAAGACTAGGCGATGCTGGGCTTAGATCTCCCTGTCCATTAAGATGTTCGTCATTGATACTCCACCATAAGCAGTGTCGTTTTGCAAGGTGCTGCTCTCGCTCAAGCTGGACAGCGTTCAATTGGAGAAATGTGATCTTCAGCGACGAGTCATGCTTTTCTCACAATACTGATGACTGCTGCAGACACGTCTGGAAATGTAAAGGTGAGCTTACAGGTGGCAGGTCTGGCGACTGTCTAGTGCAACATTTGTTAACAAGTGGCACACAGAGTATAGCTAGAACATAATACTATAGGGCATGGTCACCTGCGACAGCAATTCATTAATAATCATGCTACGAGTTACTCCGACTGCTCACAGGGACGTTGACAATCACAGCAATTCTAGAAAATGCTGAAGTCAAGAGTGAGAAAAATAAGAAAATACCAGTTTTTACTAAACATAGTTTCTTTGCATTTTTGTGCACTGAATTTAACATATATTTCCTATTATAACTGTCACAGAGATGCAATTTTGTAGTCAATCTTTCATGAAAATTACAGCGAAAATCAGATCTGCATACTAACTACATCTAAAGTTAACAATTTTATAATAGATATTTTGCTTTTTGACATTAGACATCACAAAAAGAAATAAATTAATAAAAGAAATACACTACTGTACAATATAATGGTTATTACATTTAAATAAACATTTTGACATATTTTCAAAGCATGCAAAATTTCAATCACACATTTGATAAAAAAAAATTTTAATTTAGCAAATCTCAGTTTAGAATATTTATGAAAATGCGGCTGATCTTTGGAATATGGTAACTGGTAGTTTGGCGACATTTTGGAGGCGATAAAGGTTACTACCTAGGACTTTGGTAATAATGTGAGAAGTACTCAGTTCCGATTACGCATTATTTTGTGTGAGGGAAATGAGAGATCAAGAGATATGTCATGTGACATTAATGGACGAATTACAGTTCTTTAATCGGAAAAGGGGGGAAATCTGGAAAAAATCTGGAAATTTTGTATTTAGCTTTATTCTGTGTTGTGTGAAACAGTGTTGGTTAATTTTTGGATCCTATGCCCTAACTAAAGTGAATTCGAAATGGGTATTTAGTGGGACTGAAAGGGGTAGTAATAAGTGTTTTTTTAAGGTCGTGCGAGATAGAAGTAAAGATGTTTTAATTAAGTTATTTATTTTACCTGGTACCCTTGCTGTGAACTATAAGTATGATTTTAAAGATCCTGAAACAGGCGCACATACACTTGCTTTTTATTTAGCGGAGGAAATAAGAAAAGTTTATCGGACACGTAATCAAGATTCTGAAGAAGATTAGGTAAGTTAGTAATTTTAATTATTTGAGGATATTATTTTTATGCATTGTTCTAAATGTAAGGTGGAAGTAAAGTAATTTGGTATTATTGGGAAAAATTTTTATTAGCAATGATTTAGTTTAAAGTAATTAGGATTGTAAGCTAATTTTTATTAATTTAATGTATGTGCTTATTTATATTTTAAGTAGTGTTTTTGAATTTAATTATATTTTAATAAAATGATAGTTATTTTGTGAATTATATGTTTCTAGGAATTTGGTATACGTTTTAGTGGAAGTAAACGTGCATGGAAATAATTTAAATATTTGACACTAAGTATTTGTAACCATTTGTAATGTTTGAGGTATGAATTCGTTGGTGACGTTTATAATATAATAGACAATTTAGACGTAAAAGTTTTTGGATATTTTATTTATTTTATACGTGGAAATGTTCATATTTGGAAAGGGTATATACTTTTTCCCGATCAGGTAATTTCATATATGTTCTTTTTACCGGATTTAAAGATTCACAAAATTTTCATGCATTTTCATGAAATTTTTCTAATTTATGAGAAAAAAGCAGTGTACATGGATATAGTGAAGAGTGTGCGCAATGCCATTTTTGTGCAATTCTGGGATGTTTTTTTAAGTAAAAATAAGTCGACGTGTACATGGTTTAGTGATATTTTAATTAAATGATAGTTATTTTGTGAATTTTATGTTTGTAGGAATTTGGTATACATTTCAGTTGAAGTAAACGTGCAATGGAAATAATTTAAATATTTGACACTAAGTATTTGTAACCATTTTTAATGTTTGCGGTATGAAATTCGTTGGTGACGTTTATAATATAATAGATAATTTAGAGGTAACAAGTTTTTTGGATATTTTATTTATTTTATACGTGGAAATGTTCATCCTTGAAAGGGTATATACTTTTTCGTGATCAGGTAATTTCATATATGTGCTTTTTACAGAGTTTAGAGATTCACAGAAAATTTTCCTGCATTTTCGTGCAAATTTTTGTAATTTATGAGAAAATAGCAGTGTAGATGGATAAAGTGTGTGCAATGCCATTTTTGTGCAATTCTGGGATGTTTTTTTAAGTAAAAATAAGTCGACGTGTAAATGGTTTATGTGTATGTGCTATTCTGAAAAACGCGCAAGGAGTTTGCGATTGTGCACTTTTTCCCAATTTTGCAGTTAATATTTGTCATGATTAAGCAGTTTGTTACATAAAATTTCTAGCATAAGTGTAATTCGGCTAGTAGATTGTTGGAAAAAGTGTTCAGTAAATAAAAAGAAAAGAAACATGTTTTTACTTCATGAAGACAAAATGGCGGCGAAAAAAAAATAGAGGGTTGCTGTAGCAGAGTTGGTCGCCAAATTTTCGCCAAAACAATCGTTAAGTTACTATAACCCAAAGATCAACCAAGAATGCTTCTGACTAATTGACTATTATTAACTAATTTAAGAAATTCTGGTGTGCAAGTTGAAAAGTTTACAACTGCAAACGCTATATCACTAACTATAAACATCATCATCCATATTACCAATTAATTTAGTTTTATTGATAAGATATTCTTCTTATTAAAAATTCTTACTACATCAGGTCTAACATCTGGCATATTAATGTTCATACTATAATGGCTATCTGCAGGAAAAGGTGACCCATCCATTCTTTGTAATCTGGATCTTATTATACATACAGATAGAATTACTAGAAGATATTCTGCCAACATTTTGAAGATCTAAAATAATTAATAAATAAGCATTAATATAACAAAGGAAGAAAATTAATACAAAAATAAATATTACACATTTAGAAAAGCAAATAAAAATAATTAAATGAATACTGGAATTCAGTAAAAAATGAGAATCATCTTATTGACATTCAGCATTGCAATAAAGGCAGTATTTTGGAAAAAATAAAAGTAATAGGTATATCGATTAGAATATTTTTCTTAGTAAATTTGACATAATACTTATTATAAATTTATTTCCTACACTTTACATACCTTATTTGGGGAAAGTGCAGAATCACCCACTGCTTGGCAATTAGAATAATGAGCATTTAACAACGCGCTGATATCTAGGTTACATGACATTGTAACAAAAGATGCCTTTAAGATGTACTCGATAATGCTACAAAAAGTATTTCGAGAAAAAAGTATCTCGAGATTCCTTCGAGATCCACTTCATGTACACTCCCTTGACTTTATCCATGTACACATTGACCTATTTTCACTTAAAACATCAAAGAAAATTGACAAAAATCCAAATCTTCTTACTCTTGTAAAAAGCACCAAACAAATAAGTGGGCGATTCTGCACCTTACCCTCTTATTTTAATTTTTTTCTTATATGTCTGAACACAGAAAAATCCATACCACTTATTTAAAAAAAACGTACACTTTTTCTAATTGCAGCAGTAATTATAAATTATTTATAATAATAATTACAAATTATTTATAATTTAGGATGCCAGGAACAGAAAAATAACAACCAATAAACAGAACATCACATTATGGCCCATTTACACAATTAAACTATGGCAACATTTAAAATTTCTTCTGGAATTGAATAATGAAAAATTTATTAAAAATACACATTCGCAAGACAATTCATAATTTATTTTGTAGTAACTGTATAAAAATTATTACACCTTTCATCTAAATAGGCTATGTAATGAAATAATAAAACTTGCATAAAATTTCTCCAAATTCCTTGCATAAAAAGTCTCTGTATACACATGTGAAGACTACCTTTAATATCCTTTGTTTCATAAGATAAGAAGTAAGAAAAAATAGCTTTGTTTACACTAAATTTAGATCTTTTAAATATTCAGGATAAGATACCTGAAAGCATTACTTCTAATATGAATAATAAATATACTTATTAAAAATCACGATGCTATTAAGTAACACATAAAAAGAGCTCCACTTCATGTACTAAAGTGCTTCATACTTATATATATTTTTTAATTTAGCTGTTTCTGAAAAGGAACACAGTATTATGCAGGAACCGAAACTGGTATTCAGAGAAAGAATATTTTAACTATCAGTGGATTAACTGCCTACTTCTCATGAATATTTCCCAATTTAAATTCAGGTTTTTTTAATATATGACATGAAAATATTAATGAGATTAATACCATAAGATATACGTACCATATGTGGAATTCAAACAAATCATAGCAAAACTTTAATAAAATCTGAAAAATATCCTCCCTAATTCACTTACCACGAATAGCGAAATACTGGGTTCACACGGCTGATACAACTTATTTATTGCGAGCAAGCTGTCAAAAGTACGAAATTAAAAATAAAATAAAATTTATTCTTCAGCATTATAACTGAACATGGTAATACATTGGGCTTGCTTGCAGCAGTGCATATTTATGTTGGCTACAAGCAAAACATGCTTAATGCCGTCAATTCATCATCATGAAGAGAAAAGTGCGCTAAAACAAAAACTAACAGTGCTAAAGAACAGTGAACTTCATGACATCTACAGATGTTTACACACTAGCGGTTATGGTTTAAAGATTAAAATAAATAATATGGCGAGTGCAAAGTAGGAAATAAAAGAACACTTTCTACTCCCTAGAGTTGA